CAGGGGTTGCTCCAGCGGCCAGGGCCCAAAGCTGGAGCTGGGCTGTGGTGCAGATGTGGTCCTGGGGCTTGGGCCCCCTGCATCTCTCTTTCTTCCCTCCCACACATCTCTTTTTCCCCTCAGAGCCCCTCCCCCTGCCCTCTCCTGCTCCCCACGTCACTCCCCCACCCCCAGCACTTCATTCCATGCAAACCTTGGGCGCTGGCAGCAGCTTCCCTGCACGCCAGGTTGGAACTCTCAGCCAGCCCCACAAGGAACAGCCTGGGGCAGTTCCTGCCCCCAACAGAGACTACTTGGGAGAGTCTTTGGGGAGCAGTGCCACTGGTGGGTGCCACAGTGACACACAACCTCATTGTTGGCGCACAAGACAAAACTCACTCCGCTCATGAATGGAAAATCTTAGAGGGAACATTGCTCCCATCCTACCCTCCCACACAGCGCCAAAAGACTGCTACTGTCCACATTCTGGTGTGAATCCTGGAAGTAATTCAGGGCAGACACACCAGATACCAAAAGAGGCTGGTCTGTCTTGGAGACCCAACTGGGCATGAAGGACAGAGAGTTCTACACAGAGAAGGTCAGGTCAGTCATCTCTATGTGAGAGGTGTACGGGAATGTGTGTATGTCACCTCTCCCCATATAAACCTTAAAGCCTTAAAGATAAGAAGGTAAATAGATAAGAATCCAACTACTCAATGTTTTTTTAACAAGGGCTCAGTCAATATGATGTTAAATTTGAACATTTGTACTACATAGTTCTGACTGATTGCCATTGAACTAACTTGCTTGAATATGAGTAATTCTTCCAGGTATTCCATATTCAACATAGGGAAATATGGTCACCCTAGCTAAACTAAAATAAAAGAAGCAAATAAAAAAGCCTACTAAACCAAATAGAATCTCAAGACCACATCAGCAAGGGAAGAGCAAGGACAGCATGCCACTCACATAACACCACAAAACTGCCTACTTCTCAGGCTGACGCAGTCCATCTGCTGAAGTGTTGCAATACTGCCATGCATTTTGAAGAGGTTTGCGTGATTCAGACCTTGAAGTTTTGTGGTGGTCATAGTGTGAATTCTAGTGCATTTCTCACTTCTGCAACACTTTATAGACTGATTCAGGCAAGCGTTCAATTTTTCAAATCCAGTTGGACATGTAAACAGACACAATTTATCCATTTTTCAAGCCAAAATGCCCTTTTGCATGTGCAATTTAGACAGGCAGTTTTGAAAAACTGACCTTCCAATGTACAGTGATACAGCTGTGTTCCAAGAGCAAGGCAAAAGTATTTTGGAGGTTTGATGATGCACTATACATATAGGCCTTGGTCTGCAGACTACTGTAGCTCAGCAAAAGACTTGAGACATGGGTATTGAGCATATAACAGGTTTTCAAAGAAGAGCAGCAGAGAATTACAGATGCACTTGTGACAAGTAAAAGTGATTAACTTGAGTAAGTACAACACATATACCACAGAATTAAAATGATCAGCAAAATATCACTTATCATAGGACTTTGGAATACGCAGTTTGCCATACTGTATCAGACCATTTAATCCAGTACCCTGCTTCCATTAGTGCCAATTATTCATACTTCTTATTGTGATGATTTCCTTCCCCCATTCTTTGTCATGCATCAAGCCACTTGTGCACTAGCTGTGAAAATTCTGGAGAAATTCCTCCCTAACCTGTGCAGCAGTGGAGGGGAGGGGAGATGGTTCCTCCATGAGGCATGAGATTCAATTACCCCATCATTCATTATTTTAGTTTGCATAGCAATAAATGTGATTCTTGTCGACCCAAGTTATCCAGCCCCATTTTCAAGAGTGCCATACTCTGTTATCTTACTCTTTGGAAATATGAGAGTCAAAGTGAATTAACTTGGTCGTTATTCAATAGGAAAGAAATGATACATCTAAACTATCTCAATATATGCTCTACTTTATTTCTCGTAACATCAGAGGCAGTTTCCTTTGTAGACTCTATAAGGTAATCTGTCATTGTGACACAGGAGACTCCATTTACTGACAAGAATAAAGAGTTTCTAACATAAGACAGCTGATATTTAAAATAACTGCAACCTCATGATAACTGTAAGGGCCAAGCTCTGCCCCAGAAAGGTGAATGGATGACCTACAGGCCAGAGGAATGCATTGCAGTCTTTGAGAGAGATTTATAAATAACTGGGATGGAGAGTAAAGAAGTAAGGATTGACTTAAGTGGTTTTTCTGTCATTGATTTATTTTAATTGGTGTAACGGGTAAAAAACCCTCAAGTTTGGCAAATTTAAAAAATGTAATATTCTTGTTAATATCCTCAAAACCAGCCTCACCCTTGAGCTAGAACTAACCAACTCTAAAACCAACAAATCAAAAATATTCCACCTTCCTAAGACACCAACTTCCTCACATCATAGACCTGGTCTATACTAAAGGGGAAGGTCAACTTAAGATCCACAACTCCAGAACATAAATTACGACATATCTTAAATCACCATCCACACAGTGGCAGGACAATGGGAGCTAATGCTCCCATCAGCTTCCCTTACTCCTTGTGAGGAGCAAGAGTACTGACACTGATGGAGAGGCTCTCTCAGTTAGAATTAGCTGGTATTCACTAGACCCGCTAAATCGAAGCCTGGGAGATTGACCGTGGTAGAGTCGATCTTCCACATAGTATAGTCATGGCCATAAAGATCAAGAAAACAGATGAGTTCTACAGCACCCCCAACAAGTTCCAAAGCCCCAAGACCCTTTCAGAGAACATCAAGCCAGCAACCTCCTGTCCCTTCAAAAACAAGAGAGCTCTGGCTGGAGTATGTCTGCTGAACATGACTATAGCAGCGTAACATGGAGAGGGACAGGCACTCTGTTGAACAGACCATTCCCAAGCCATTTAAGGGCACTGCAGGCCTAGAATTTCTTAATCTTGCTCCAAAACCAAAATGCAACCAATGCTTATCTGAAGCACTTGTGTCATACTTCTCAGTGAGACAAGCCTTCTAAGATATGGCTAGTGCAAACTGCACTAGCTTTGGTTGCTTAATGGATGCAGACAGT